TTCGCTCTTTTTTTTTCTCTCCGGTTGGTGGGGAGCTTGAGGAGGTACTGGCGGGGGTGGGGCCAGACGTGCAACCACTGGGTGACCCAGTGGTCGTTCTCGAAGACGCGGATGGCACTCACGGAGTCCTGGAGCTCCGGAGGGACCGAGTGCGCGTAGAGGGTGAGTTTGGGCCTACCGGCTTGCTTTGGCCTCCCGGTGGCTGTGGTTCCGTCAGCGTCGTCGGGGTCCTCCTTGTCCTGGCCCTCCTCGCCGAGTTGGAAGCGCAGCGACTGCTCCTCTTCGAGGTCGGAGGCGAGTTCGGAGTCGAGCTCGTAGAAGGCCGAGGAGAGTCGGGGCGCGGCGGTGCCGGGGAACAAAAAGTACGGGTACATGCTGGTCGGGGTCAACCAGAGCTCCTGGTAATTTGGGTCTGCCTCGTGGCTGTTGCCGTTTTGTTGGTGGATGTTGTGATGATGATGGTGGTGGTGGTGGTGGGTTTGTTCGAATGGGTGGAGGGCAGAGTCCGTGCCCGAGAGGTCGACGGACGAGGACTGATACTCTGAAACAACACAAGCAGAGGTTGCCGCCCGTAATCGAGTGCCACTTTTTTTCGCTTCTCTCGTACTGTTTCTGAGTCTGCGTATCTATGTGTTTGCGTATGACATGTGTTTGGATGAACTCTGATTCTGAGACATCTGTCTTTAGGTATGTGAGTGGATGACAATTTTCATCTTTAATCTTGAAATAGTGATGTAATGTACACAATACTGATGTTGTTATGACGTTATTTTTTTGAGGATCACGATAATGTAGAACAAAGAAGAGGGGGTGAGGTCGATTGATCGAAGGATTATATTTATTATAGGGTGATAGTTAAAAAGTTTTAAGTTTTTCGAAAAACTACTCCTTAGTTGCTCTCAAAAGTAATCTCAATATTTTTAAAGTTGTTTGCCATGTACGAAACGTGAACTGATTTTCTAATACATTATAGAAGATGACCAATTACGAATGACATATTGTTTTCACTCCACTTAAGAGAATCGTGTACAGAGAAGATTCTACAAAAAAATCACTAAACAACTGATACAATCATGTACGCGTATGGTGAAAGACCAATCATTTGGCATACAATATGACAGTTGAAAGTAACCTTGGTAAAAAAGAGCTGTAAAAAACGAAAAATTTGGACTGATGGTCCCAGCGGGCTTTGGTGTAAGTAGAAAAGTACAAAAAATAAGAGAACTGATATCTTCCAGAAAATTAGTTTCTCTGTACGGGGACTACAACTAGAACTGCATGTTCGTACGTCACAAGACGTGGAAAGGTGTGGAAGGGGAAAAGTTAAGAAGTACATCCACTGTGGACTACTGGGAGCAGTGGGTACACGAGTATTCCGGGAAATAAGTGAGCAGAGCACGGAAGAGAGAACACACGTGCAGTACAGCTCACGTGACTTGCTCTGCAGGCAGTAATTCCTCCTCGACTTTCTCGAAATGTGGATGTAAGAAGGACTACCTCTTGCCCTTGTGTATATGGGGGCGAGTGCAGACAACACGTACGTGTGCATAAAGCAGCCGAGCACTCGCTCCTCTTCTCCTCTCACCCGTGAATTTTGCATCCCGGCAAACGTTGCGCTTCGTTTATCCGCCCCACGTGCGAGACTTTTCTCCTTCGCGCCTCCGCCACTTGCTCCTCGACGCGTTCGGTTGTTGAGTTTTCCTTCCCTTCTCGCCTCCTCTGCTTCCCTGTTTGCCTTCACCCCTCGACTTTTCGAACCAGAGGCTGTGCGAACGAAATCGCCACTTCGAGTAGGTAAGCTCCACTGATTTTATAAACAACGTGTGTGTCCTCGTACTACACCTGACTGACTCGCTGCACCACTCACTGGTGATTCGATAATCAAAGTCATTCTATTTCCATGTCCTGCACCGTGAAAAGGGCCAATTTTATTTGCTCCAGTTGACGCGCCTCCTTACGTTCTTTTTGGAAGTGTAGACGACGAACTTTTGGTGACGTGAAAGCCCTAAATTATAGGTTTTAGCTTACGTGTGTTGTTCTGCTCTGATCTCCTTTGTTTTTGAAAAAAGTATTCTACATCTTATAAATTATAAATTGGATGATTGTAGAAAACTCAGCCCTTTCGAATTTCAATGATAATATCGTCCTCGAGAGCTGGTGGAGACATTGTAGGAAGAAAAGGTGGATAAAAGGATTTCGGTTGTGCAAGTGGCGATAGTGGTGGTAGTGGTGGTGGTGATGGTGATGTAGTAGTGACGCATTCTGTATGGGTTGAAATACCAGGTACATGAAAAAAAATCATTTGTTGCGTGTGTATGTAATAAAAAATCAAATGAGTCAATAAAACGTGTATTGGTAAAAAAGAAATTTAAATCGATTAAATAATAATCTACAATGACACACAACGAGATCGAAATTTAATAAAATACAAAATACAAATAAATGAAGAAAAAGTGCAATAGAGAGGAATGATACAACATGATTGTAAAAAATGCATATCCGAGGCTTAAAAAAATATACTCACGTGCAGAGATTTATTATTAGTGCAATGCATCTACATATACGACATCCGATACGCTTACATTTATACAGGTACAACATATTTCGCGGCATTCACCTAATATCAAGCAGTGCCAGATTTCACCTTGCCTTCTTTCCCCTTTTTTTCTTACCTTGAAAAAATCTAGTATGCTTTACAGCTAACTTAATTTTATCGTACTGACTTCACCTCTCCTACTCTCATTCGCTTTGTTACGGTCTGATTGCGACAAAAATATTACACTCTGGTGTGGCTTACACAGCTAACCTACTTTAAAAGTGTGACTAATTTTTTAGACTATTGTTTTTCGAACAATATATGCATACGGGTTTGGTTCGTTGAGCCGTTATTCGATGCAAAATACACTGAGAGAAAAATTTAATAATAATTATAGAGAAAATTCAGTACAAATTACCGTAATCGAATGGAAGTTGGGAAAAAGGGAAAAGTTATTTTTTTAAACGCTAAAGTCTTGTTCGAATCGACGGCCAGATCATGTGGTACAACAAGATGGTAACCTCGACACCCAAGAAAAACAAGCACACGTGCAGGTGCTCGTTCAATCATCGTTATCACCCTAGAAACGGTTGCAACTGCATAAAGGCGGTCACGTCCTATGCCCAGGATACCGCCAACTGCCAGGCCGTCAAAAACACCGGAAGGACTCCTTCCCAAGGCGTACCCTACGGCTTACTAAGGCGCAACGAGATTTTGAGGTAAGTGCAAAAAATGTATTTTTTTTTTTTTAGTGCTCTTTTCTGTGAGTTTCCGTCCCCGGCCCGCCTCCCGAAACCGTCGAGCCACTGGATTGGTCCCATGACCATACGGGCATCGGTGGTTGCAACCCCAAAATCGTACCCCAGCATCTGAAAATGCTCGTCCTCTGGGTTTGGGGCAACCCCTGAAAAAATGTCCAAGTCAGCAATGAGAAAAAGAGCCTATCGTGTACATACAACTGGCACACGGAATTTTAAAAAAACACTACACACACACACAAATAATCCCTCATAGCCGTGTAAGGATACCTAGGTTAAAAGCAAATGTGCGACGGGATGACACACAAAAAATTTGGCTATAACAATCTTGAGAAACTGCAAACTTTACTTTTACATGGGTCTAGAATGTTGTAAAAATAAAGGAGGTTTACTTTTGCCTTCTTTGCTGTTTGTGGTAAAAAGACATCCGGCCAGATGTTATTTTTGTTTATAGTTTCAACGAAGATTATATTTATTTTTAATAATTAAATTTAAAAACTTACAATTACGATTAAATCTACAACATGAGTATCGTGTACCATAATATTTTTTAATTTTAGTATTTTTTTAAAAAAGATTTATTAAATCAGCACCATTGTTAGTATGTTTCAATTAGTTTTGATTGTCACAATACAATAAAATAATTAAATTTAATTTTATATTTCAAACCATGATATTTATAAGCACTTGTTATTGTAGAAAATTATCACTACAACTTTTAAAAATATCTTTAAATAATCCTATCTTGTCATTTGCACATAACTGGATAATTTGGTTGATTACAATTTTTACTCAATTAGGTGCATTTTACAGAGTCCTACCTGAGTCACTTCTGACCTAATTTAAACTCCAGTTTCCGTAAGGATTAGCAGATAATCTGTCAAAGTTTTCGTATAAAATCTTCTCCCTCAGTTTTTTTCCAATTAAATTATTTCTTTTTAATACAATGAGCGTACTGGAAGCTACTATTTTTTAAGCGTACTTTTATACCAATATGCTAATTATGCAAAGAGCTGCGAAATTGAATCTCACGCGCCTGTAGCAATAGAAAGCACAGCGATAAAGACATTAATTACGTGGCTGTTCGCAGAGACAGATGAAGTGGAGCAAAAAGCGTAAAAAATCGGAAACGAAGAAGGTCGAAAGAGGTAGGAGAAAAAATGGTGCGCGGGGGGTTGGAGGTGAAATTGCAGCGTGTAGAGACTGAAATGAATTATTAGGTCTTAGTGGTGACGACGGTAATTAACGATGGGTGCAAAAGTTAGGCTTGAGCCGATAAAACTGCTCCTCCTCTGCACGTATCTGCATCATGATAGTCCTAGCACTAATTAAGTAGTGAGCGAGTGTCCACGTATATATGTGTGCTCCGCTGCACTACTTGTTCCGTATAGGTATCAACGATAGTAACAAGAATTAAGATATTTTACTCATCTAATTACTCTACGTACGTCCATTTCTAATCTAAACTCGTTTTAAACCGCTACTTCATATTAATTTCCTTTTACAGATTTTTTGTTTTCGAACCAATTATTAATATTATTACGAAATCGCCACTTCGAGTAGGTAAGCTCCACTGATTTTATAAACAACGTGTGTGTCCTCGTACTACACCTGACTGACTCGCTGCACCACCCACTCACTTGTGATGCGATAATCAAAGTAATTCTATTTCCATGTCCTGCACCGTGAAAAGGGCCAATTTTATTTGCTCCAGTTGACGCGCCTCCTTACGTTCTTTTTGGAAGTGTAGACGACGAACTTTTGGTGACGTGAAAGCCCTAAATTATAGGTTTTAGCTTACGTGTGTTGTTCTGCTCTGATCNATCAATATTAATACCTTAAAAAAAAATTACACGAAATAAACACATAATGTTGCAAAATTGATTTGGCATAAAAAGGCAAATCAATAATTTATCCTAGTAAGTCATAGAAATAATAATTCGTAAAAATGTACTACAAAAATAAGTCCCACATCACAATACAACAGTCAAAAAATGTAGTATGAAGCTACTTGTACTGTATGCAAAAATGATATCCTGTACCATAAAGCCTAATGATTTTTACATACAATAGATATCCAGAATGAAAGATAAGTCATATAAATAAAAAAGTCATCAAGCCTACGAATATAAATATTAATATCAATACTCTATGCACATCGTACATTCGTACACAACACACTGACTTTTAAATAAAAGACCAAAAAGACAATAGACATCGCACTTACAGCTGTATAACATAAAAAAACAAAAAAACAAAAATTGACAAACTGCCAAGCCAAAAATATCCCCTCTCGTGTACATATAAGTATACACGGGCTGAAACGGTACATATGTCGCTACACCTCACGTCTAATAGATGCTCGATCATTTTTTGCTGTTGCTGTAAGCGGAATTTGAAAAAAGCTCTACAAAAAAGAAGTGTAGAAAAATAATGTTTCTCGTTCACTCACCGACGCAGGGATTGTGATTGACCATCGAGAAAATTCGGTCGCAACGCTTCTTCGCCTGGTTGTCCGGGCAAATGCAGCCAAACATGGGGGAGAGCCGCAACTGCGTCCAGGCCTCGTGACACGCGTCCCTATAACAGATTTAGAAAAAAAGAAAAAGTTATGAAAAGTAATAATTACTTTATGAAATATCAAGTTTAATAAATTTTTTTTTTTTACGGAAAGTTTAGTATCCACAGAGCATTGGTATGATTGTTTTTTCTAACTGGGAAGTGGTAAATTTTTACTGAGGTAAGAGTGGATGTTGAATCCCTCTTGGAGTTTCAGAAATAAAAATATACTAGAGTTTGTCATGAAATGAATGTTCCAATAAAACCAAAACTTTTTAAAAACTTTTCTATGTATTAGGTAAACAATCAAAATTCATAAATTTATAGATGGACATGTAAATAAGAAAATTAATTTTTTTTGATAAATTTAGAAGGAATCTACATTGGCCCACAAAACAATAGAAAGTTTAGTGTACTCGTTACATACATACATGTATTGTGCAGTTGGTAATTAAGCGTATATTACATGAAAAGTTTTCTCTACAAGATATAGCAAAAAGCGGAAAAAAATTGAAAATTGAAAGTTAAAAAAGGGTGATTCCGTACAAGCTTTCAATTTCAGAACTAATTAGGCAGTTGTGGAGGAGCCAATGCAGAATAGACCAGTTGGAAAAAGCAGGTCATTAAACGGTCTAAAAAGCAAAGAAGAAGGAGATAGGGTTGGGGTGGTGGTGGTGGAGGGTGCAAGAAAAAGCTGTTGAAAGTTTTCACTCTAATTAGCTATTAAGCCACGCAGTAGCGGAAAATCTGGCTGTGCCCAATGCACTTGAAAACGGAGAAATGGTAACATAATTTACCGGAGAACTTTGATTACTCCAAAGTAGTTAACTTGACACTGGATTTAAGATCTCCAATTCCACTAGAAAACTCACTTCCACATAAGATAAAAATTAATTTTGGCCACTCCATACGTGCGAAATAGATAAATAAACGAAAGTCCAACATCTGTGAGGAAAAGGACCATTATCGGGACTGCACAGATAAAGTTGGGCCATCGAAGGGGAGGTGCACTTTGGCGTACAATAGCCTCCCTCTGTTGCCTCGTAAGCTCAGGCTCGTTACACCATACTGTTGTTGCTGTTGTTCGAGGAAGGGGTGAAAATCCCACGTCAAACAGTGGGTACGCACATGCGATTGTAGCTGACGCTACTCTGTTTGCTCGGGCCTATTTGCCACTGCGTCCCTGTTTTGTTTGATTAGTGCGCAAGGGGTGACGCGGACAAATGCGAGAAGTGATTTTTGTTTTTGTTTGTCCACTTGCCACCGTTGGTCTGTGCTCTGTTGCTCATTTCATGTACTGCGCGAGTGAATGATTGAACGATCGAGCGATTCCCATCTGGAATTTTTGTTTGAACGAGCAATCATATCTCTGTGAGAATGTGTTACGAGGGAAAGTGACATTGTTCTCATCAGAATCACTGTGATTCTGGTCATGTGTTTGCTCATACCCTCGCGTGTCTCGGAGATGGTAATTTTTAAATTTGCAGTGTAAGGAAAAAAAAAGAAAATAATAAGTATAGGTGCTTATACGCGAGAGGAGAGGAACGACAAAAGACAAGTGAAAACTGGACGAGCCCTTTGGGAGCCATTGGAAATTTATGAAGTTTTCCCAAGTGCGAGTAAAAGTGAGGGATGGCAAGGAAACCACTGCACATATGTTTGTATGTATACAGAAATACAGCGGCTAAGAAGAGTAATGAGCTTAGAAGAAGAGGGTGGAGGAAAAAGGAAAGAGGTGAACATATGGAGGGAAAAAAAGCAAAGGGATAGTCATGCAGGTCAACTCTTACACCAGAATAATCGTCGCAGCGTTACTCATACATGGTCTGCCTCCTCCTGAATATTTAACAAAAAATCAACATCGACACTTTCACCCTCATTCATTGGGGGTGATTTTTTTTTTTTTTTTGCGTCCTGTCTCTTGTATAGGACACAGAAAGCAAGTGCTTCCTCTTTTTCATGGACAAACAGATTTTTTTATTTTTGTACGTCTAGTCAAAAAGGATGTATAGGATACATCTCCTACAAATAATTATTTCCGCTATCGACCAAAGTGGATAGCAGAAGCCCAAATTAACGTATACGTAATTAACCTACTAAACTGTACTTGAAAACCCCATCACCGCTATTGAAATGACTAATTAGCTCCAAGCAATACTTCATTGAAAAAAAAAATCTCCAATCGAACCATCGATCACAGAAGGGGTATGCCGTTAGGAGAGGGATCCTGAAAGCGCCTCCCGACGTCTGGAATATACATATATAGGGAATCGCGCGGAGTTGGCGTATTGGCTTACCCCCGCGAGTGGCGGCTCCGACAGCGATATTACGCGATCCCACGCACGCACGTGTGCAACGGGAAGGAGGTGGAGGGAAGGCAAATACATATCTCGGCAATTATCAGCAGCAGCCCCAGACGTTCAGAGTCGGGATCCTTCGCGTCACGCGACGTATATAAGGTAATCTTTTGTCTGGAAAGACATTATAAATGGCCGATAGCGTGTGCGTTTGTAGAGAGACTGAATATCGCTGGTGTGGATGTACACCTACTATCGAGGCTTTGCAAAAGGGGCTGGAAAAGGTTCGCTTCTCCCCTTCGGGGAACGAAAACTGTGTAGTACAACTCGGCGTATATTAAACGTCCCTGACGATCCTCGGTGTGTGCAGTGTGTGCTTGTATATGTACACAGATGCACGCGTGTCTCTGTTTGATATAAACATTGTTGTACTTTTAATTTGTTCCACAAAGTACAGCAGGAACGAAAACACCCCCCCCCCCCCGTTTAAAGCAAAATAAAATTGGGGGATCGAGGGTGTTTGACACACCCCCAGCGAGTCGCGAAAAAGTGTCGCTCACTTGGCGCGAAAACAAAAGGACCAGACGAGGGAAGAAGGAAAGAGAACACTTGCGAGCACAGCAGCCGTTTTGCAAGAGTACCGTAGTATAAGGGGTAGGTAGGTAGGTATACCCACGAGACGCGTGCAAAGCTGCGCTGCACAAAGTACTTGTGATTCGCGCGTGCGATAGGCCGCATAGGGAGCAAGTCTGGAGAGTCTAGTTTAGTATATATACTGTGCATTTATATATACATACATGTAGAACCAGCCGACGAGAAGTGCTCTTGGCAGCAGCAACACCAGCCTCTCAGTGGTACCTGCTCCATTTGCATATACCACAGCCATGTATGTTTTTTTCTACCTCTTACTTTTTTTTTCATCCCTCCTGCGCACTTCCGGTAGCTACCCTTTATGCTCTGTGCCTGTACTTGGTTTTTTCTTTTCCCTGACCGCGACAAAGATATTTTAAAAAAAAGACCCACCAGTAGACTCAATTTATCAGTCATTACTGAGAAAATCATTGATGAGATTTCATGTTTTTCTCTCCCACCTTCTCTTCAATTTTGTTTTTGTTATTTTTTTTAACTCCCATACGCACGCATTTAGCTTCTATATTTATTTTGAATATATCATTGCGCAAATGAACAATGTAACGATGTGACCTTTTTATAAAAATGCTTATTCTCTAGAAATTTCTTACCTATTTGATTTATTTTTTTTAGGTCCTCGAGGCAATACGAGATTTAAGAAAATTTTGTCCAGAAAGATGAAAAAAACAAAATTAAACAATTTTTTTTACTATTGTAAATAAATAATTTTAATTTTGTTTTAAAAAGAATAATATTTGAAAACAAATGCTGAATTTGGTGAATGTTTGTGTATTATTGTTTTTTTTTTTTTTTTTTCTTATAACATGCACATAATTCTCCCCACGCAAAGTCTTCCGATTATGATCATTGCCCATATTTTTACTCATAACGTAATGCAAAACAAATTTTTTTAATTGATCCTCCAAGTATTTGTTTTTCAATTTTAGAAATAGCGATTTTGTTACATCGAATATCTAATCTCTGACAAAAACCGCAGCGCACCACAGTAATAAAATTAAAAGTTTCGAGTAGTGGGCTTTTTCCGGTTGATAACGTCGGGGATGCGCTAACGCCGGATCACATACGTACCCAAAGGAGCAAACGCATCTCGCAACTACCCCATATGGCTTCCACAATGTCCTGGCAAACGATCTCATGAACATTTGCACGAGTGGCTTAAAACGAGCTTTGACTACCCCCACACCCCCTCCTCTTCCTCTTCCCACTTCAATGCGGAGGACAATCGAAAGCCAGAACTACCCGAGACCTCCCATTGCTTGCCTATCCACACGGGGATTTCGTGGCCATAGCTGTGCAACAACTTGTACTGCAACAGCGACACTGGCCTTTTAATGGTATAACCAAGATTTTCCCTCGCACGGCTATACTTTCCCTCTGGCCAAAGTTCACGTCACATTTTTGTTATTCTCAAAGAACTACCGTGGTTTCTTCTGTGGTTAGCCATTGAATCATCATCCGCAGAAGGAGTAAATCCACGCACTCGTGTTTGGGATTCAAAAATGGATTTTACTTGTAAATGGTGGGGATAGTACTAGTGGTAAGACCCACACGCGTGTTCACTTGCTCCAAAAGAAATATATATTTATGGGGATAAAGGAAAGTGAAATATAGGAATTTGGAGATTACATGCGCACAGGCACTGCAGCGGAAAGTTGGCCCAGTAGGGGCTTTTACATGAAGGGATCGAACAGTCGAGCTAATGACGAAACTTGTGGTACTGCGTGTGTTGGCATTAGTTTTCAATACATAATCCGCAGGAGAAGAGCTAGCTATGGGACGCATATACGTGAATGTAAATAACGGGGAAAGAGTAATACCGGATTAGAGCAATTATTGGATCCCACAAAAGTTTTGGACATTAGTGTGGGATTTCGAGGTAAAGCACGGTTAAGTGGAATTACGTGACTATGGTTAATAAAGTTCAAAGCTCCGAATCGAGAATAAATATTATCGCGTCGAATTAGCTGCGGCGGTGGTAGTGTGTGTTTTTTAGTACAATACTAAAAAACATGATTCTGTTCTATCAAATGATACTATGCATATTGAAGAAAGACCCATATTATTATTATTTTA